ATCGACAACGGGGAGAAGAGCGATGTGGAAACACCGGGTTTTGAAGCGGAGTATGAACGTTATATCTCCAAGGGCAAGAAACGTGCTCTCAGCAGCGAAAAGGCTGAGGGTATGAAGCGCAAGGTACGTTTTGTCAATGATAGCAGGAAAAACGAATGTGTATTAACAAGCTCTTAGCGCCGACGGCAAGATTTCCTCGTCAAGCTTGGCAAGACCTTTGAGAAACAATCAACCTCAGGAATGGATCGTTTCAGATATGACCACGAGGAGAAAGTCATTTTCGAAGTGCAAGATAAGGAAATTCAAGATGAGAAGGAACGCAAAAAGGACATGCAGCGGAAGCGGCGACGGGAGAACACGGTTCGGCTGGAGATGCAGAGAAAGCTCGATGCAGAACGGAAAGCGAACGAAACTGACGACGCTGCTACGAAAGCCAAGCTTATGCGGGAAGTCGAACGGGCTCAGAAGAAGATTAAATCTACCAAGAGAGCCCTGGAAGGCGTTACAGCTCCCGAGGAGATCGGCGAAGTCACTCCACTGGCTCCCAACCTTGAAGGGGGTACCACCAGTTCATTCCACATTGGTCGAAATTCTCCGTCGCGGCGCAAATCGAATCGCGGGGGCACGACCGCCCGGCCCAAGAAATCCAAGGAGCAAAAGCAAGCCGAAAAGGATGCCGCAGAAGCCGCTTATGCGGCCATGGCTAGTGACGATCCTACGTCTCTTGCTCCCATGGAAGATCCTCGGATGGAGTCGCTCAAGAAAGAAGCCAAGGGTGGTCGATCCAAGGAGTCTACGCCTATGCCCATGGCATCTTACGACAGCAAGGGCTACAACCAGATTTACGAGCAGATCTGGCGAGATATTGCACGCAAAGATATCCCCAAGGTCTATCGTATCAAGGTCACTTCGCTTGGAACCCGCCAAGAGAACCTGCGCAAGACGGCTCAACTGGCCAGCAAGCAGTCCCGCAAGTGGCAGGAACGTACCAATAAGAGTATGAAGGACACCCAGGCTCGCGCTAAGCGAACAATGCGTGAAATGACGACCTTCTGGAAACGGAACGAGCGTGAGGAGCGTGACTTGCGCCGTCTGGCTGAGAAGCAGGAGATTGAATCGGCCAAGAAGGCGGAAGCTGAACGTGAGGCCAACCGCCAGAGGCGCAAGCTTAACTTCCTCATCTCCCAGACCGAACTGTATTCCCACTTCATTGGCCGGAAGATCAAGGACACGGAGGCTGATGCCTCCGGGGACACTGCTGTCCATGGTTCGAACGAGACCGTCCAGCCTGGCAAGGGCCAGCAGCATACTGTGGATATGCCTCCCAGTGTCGCAGATCCGAACACCAAGGTCACTACCAGCTTCGACGAATTGGACTTTGATGCAGAGGACGAATCGGCTTTGCGACAGGCTGCCATGGCCAATGCGCAGAATGCCGTTCAGCAAGCCCAGGATCGGGCGCGCGCGTTCAACGCTGAGCAGGACCAGATGGCGGCCTTTGACGAGGGCGAGTTGAACTTCCAGAACCCCACGAGTTTGGGTGACATTGAGATTTCTCAGCCGACCATGCTCACGACCAAGTTGAAGGAATACCAGCTGAAGGGTCTCAACTGGTTGGTCAACTTGTACGAGCAGGGTATCAACGGTATTCTGGCCGACGAAATGGGTCTCGGAAAGACCATCCAGTCTATCTCGGTCATGGCTTACCTTGCTGAATACCACAACATTTGGGGTCCGTTCTTGGTCATTGCTCCCGCGTCCACCCTGCACAACTGGCAACAGGAAATCGCCAAGTTCGTGCCAAACATCAAGGTCTTGCCTTACTGGGGTTCGGCCAAGGATCGTAAGATCCTTCGAAAGTTCTGGGACCGCAAGCACATCACGTACACCAAGGATTCGGAATTCCACGTACTGGTGACTTCGTATCAGCTGGTGGTTCTTGACGCGCAGTACTTCCAGAAGATCAAGTGGCAGTACATGATTCTGGATGAGGCTCAGGCCATCAAGTCGTCGCAGAGTTCTCGTTGGAAGAACCTTCTTGGGTTCCATTGCCGAAACCGTCTCTTGCTTACCGGTACGCCTATTCAGAACAACATGCAGGAACTCTGGGCTCTTCTGCACTTTATCATGCCGACCCTGTTCGACTCTCACGATGAGTTCAGCGAGTGGTTCTCAAAGGATATTGAATCGCACGCGCAAAGTAATACGAAGCTCAACGAGGACCAGCTCCGGCGTCTGCACATGATCTTGAAGCCATTCATGCTGCGTCGTGTCAAGAAGCACGTCCAGCAGGAACTTGGAGACAAGGTCGAAGTGGACATCTTCTGCGACCTGACCTACCGTCAGCGGGCGTATTATGCCAACTTGCGGAACCGTGTCAGTATCATAGATCTTATTGAACGGGCCGCCGTGGGTGATGAGGCGGACAGCACCACCCTGATGAACTTGGTCATGCAGTTCCGGAAGGTCTGCAATCATCCTGACCTGTTCGAACGCGCTGAGACAAAGTCCCCTTTCTCCCAGGCGCACTTTGCAGAGACTGCTTCGTTTGTGCGTGAAGGGCATTTCGTCGACTTCGCCTATTCGACACGCAACCTGATCGAGTACGACCTACCGCGACTTCTGTGTGGTCCTGCTGGTCGTATCGATATGGCCGGGCCGGATAACAAGCTGGCCGGTTTCCGCAACAAGTATCTCGCCCATATGTTGAACATCTGGACTCCTGAGAACATCAAAAAGAGTGCGGAGGAAGATTCAGCATTTTCGTTCCTTCGATTTGTCGACACCTCTGCTGAGGAGGCCTACGAGACTTCGCATCTTGGGGTCTTCGAGCGGGCATACCGTCGTCGCGGGAAGACGAATCGGCTGTCCCGGCTTAATGTTGTCTACGACGGGGATCAAGATGATGCCAACCCGGTCCTGTCTCATTCCATGTTGAACATTGTCGATAGAAACGACCGTCATGCTGTGGATGATGTCGCTACGGAAGGATACATGCGCGACTTGATGACGGTCTCTAGCTCTACGTTCGAACGCGAGGGACTTGGTATCATTGAACCTTCCGCCAGTCCAGCAGCTTCGGCTCCTCCGATCCAGATTTCCTGCTCTAACCAGGGCGCCTACAAGGAAATGAAGGACAGCTTCTTCAACATTCCCGTGCGACATGCTTTGTACGGCATTCAGTCGAGGAGCATTGACGAACAGATCCTGGAGCACAAGGCAGACCCCAGACCGTTCACAGCTGCGCCGATCCTGTCGAAGCCGATCTCTAACAAGGGACGGTACACGCACATCGAAGTGCCATCCATGCACCGATTCGTCACTGACTCGGGTAAGCTGGCCAATCTGGATGGGCTGTTACGCAAGCTCAAGGCGGGTGGTCACCGTGTACTGCTGTACTTCCAGATGACTCGTATGATCGATCTCATGGAGGAGTACCTGACGTACCGGAACTACAAGTACTGCCGCTTGGACGGAAGCACGAAGTTGGAGGATCGTCGGGACACGGTTGCGGACTTCCAGCAACGGCCCGAGATCTTTGTGTTCCTGCTGTCGACCCGTGCCGGTGGTCTTGGTATCAACTTGACTGCCGCAGACACGGTCATATTCTACGACTCCGATTGGAACCCCACCATTGACTCGCAGGCCATGGACCGAGCGCATCGACTGGGTCAGACAAGACAAGTCACGGTGTACCGACTCATCACGCGCAATACAATTGAAGAACGGATTCGCAAGCGTGCGTTGCAGAAGGAAGAGGTGCAGCGCGTCGTCATTACGGGTGGCGCGGCTGGTGGTGTCGACTTCAACACTCGCAACCGCGAAAGCCGTACTAAGGACATTGCCATGTGGCTTGCGGATGACGAGCAGGCCGAGCTCATCGAGCAGAAGGAGAAGGAGGCTGCTGAGCGTGGCGAGATGCTTGGTGCTGCTAAGGCTAGTAAGAAGGCCGCGCAGAAGAAGAAGAAGAAGGAGCTTTCATTGGATGATATGTATCACGAGGGTATGTTTCAACTTTTTATCTGTCTCATGTTTACTAGATACTAATCGTTTATACAGGCGAAGGCAACTTTGACGATGCCAATAAACAACAGTCCGGAGCTGCAACGCCGGATATTGGCACACCGACATCTACGCCAGCACCTAAACGGGGTCGAGGACGAGGAGGTGGCAGTGCCAAAGGTACATCCAAAAGAGCCAAGACGACCAACGAGAGATTGCGATTGATTGATGGCGATGGAGGGCTGAGCTGAGGCTGAATGATTCTGCAGGGCCGTAAACTTTGAATTGTTGCCGCATGAACATACCGGATCGGAAATCGGAACGGATGGCGTTGAGTCTGTTTTCAACTTATTACTTTCTTTACTTTCTTTACTTTTCTTTTCCTTTTCCTTTTCCTTTTCCTTTTTCTTTTCTTTCTGGCAGATACTGCCGTGTTTATTACTACTCCTTTTTTTCATGGTTTTTGATGGTTTCTACAAGTATACGGACCGGGGAAGATGAGGATATGATGTTAGAATGAAAGGGCCAAACCGGCAAGCATAGACACACGCCGCGGGTTTTCTTACTTCTTTTCGATTCTTTTGTGTGTGCTGTCTTGCATTAGTGTCTGTGCGTGTACTTGTTCTGTGTGTATGACTACATAATTTCATTTGTGCTGAAGTACCTATGCTGGATGTTCTCACTGTGACGATCCCCGCACATGCAATGCGGAGTATGTAATATTACCCGCAAATACCGCGATCTGGCCGGCGTCTGGTGTGTAATATGGTATCGGTCACCTTACATAACCGCGGCCAATCAGAGCTGTGACGATCGTCAGCCGAACAGCCGCGCCGACTCAGCTTACCTCATCGGGACTAGTGCCGGACGACTTTGCAGATGCCGAGTCTTGCCCGGTCTTTCATCTCTCTTATATCTCCTTCATCTTCCGTACACTTGTTCAATTCGTTCTCTTTTTATTCGTTTTTGTTATCCAATTTATACACATTTGAATTGCCATGGAGTCCCTCCTCCAGCAATCCCGGGCCATGTGCCCATTCCTCAAGCGCACCTCGCCCTCCGCACTGCGCTCGCTCGCAACAGCCACCCGTCCCAGCACCAGTCCCGGCGGAGGCACCATGTCCAACCTCCAGATCTTGGGTCGTCGCTGCCCCGTTATGAGCAAGGCGTTGGCTGTCCAGAGTGCCCGTATATCCGGCACCAAGCGGTTCACATCGTGCGCGGCTGGTGTGGCGGGACTCGGCTCCGCCGGACACGGACACGGAATTAACGAGAAGAAGCATCTCCGTGGACGACAGGCGTTGCACACTACTGCTGGCAATGGGGCTAGTCTCCAGTCGGAGGCGTATAAGAAGGAGCATGGTATGATTGCTTTTTTAATATGTTGGGTTTGAATTGAATTGCGCTGACAAATTAGTCCCCAACTTGTCTCAGATTAAGACCCCGTTGGGGGTTGCGCCCGCAATGACCGGTCCCTGCCCCCAGGCCCCCGAGAACAAGCGATTCGATTACAATACCTTTTACAATGGCGAATTGGAGAAGAAGCACAAGGACAAGTCGTACCGGTATTTCAACAACATCAACCGTCTCGCCCATGAGTTCCCGCGCGCCCACACGGCCTCCGCTGAAGAGCGGGTGACGGTGTGGTGCTCCAATGACTATCTCGGTATGGGGCGCAACCCCGAGGTCCTCACGACGATGCACGAGACGCTGGACATATATGGTGCGGGTGCTGGTGGTACCCGTAATATCTCCGGGCACAACCAGCATGCGGTGGCGTTGGAGAACACATTGGCCAAGTTGCATGGCAAGGAGGCTGCGCTGGTGTTCAGTTCGTGCTTTGTGGCTAACGATGCCACGCTTGCTACGCTGGGAAGCAAGATGCCCGACTGTGTGATTTTGTCGGATAGTCTGAACCATGCGTCTATGATCCAGGGTATCCGTCACTCCGGCGCGAAGAAGATGGTCTTCAAGCACAATGATCTGGTTGATCTGGAGACCAAGCTGGCTTCTTTGCCTTTGAATGCCCCCAAGATCATCGCTTTCGAGTCTGTCTATAGTATGTGCGGATCGATTGCCCCGATTGAGAAGATCCAGGATCTAGCGGACAAGTACGGCGCCATTACCTTTTTGGACGAGGTGCATGCCGTTGGAATGTACGGTCCTCACGGTGCTGGTGTTGCGGAGCATCTCGACTACGACGCCTACGCTTCGCAGGATACGCCCAACCCTCACAGCACCAAGGGTACCATCATGGACCGTGTGGACATCATCACCGGTACGCTGGGCAAGGCATACGGATGCGTGGGAGGTTACATTGCCGGATCCGCGGCACTGGTCGACACGATTCGTTCCCTCGCCCCGGGATTCATCTTCACGACCTCGCTGCCACCTGCGACCATGGCCGGTGCCAACACGGCCATCCAGTACCAAGGCCGCCACAATGGCGACCGTGTCCTGCAGCAACTCCACACGCGTGCCGTTAAGGAAACCCTCAAGGAACTGGATATCCCTGTGATCCCCAACCCGTCGCACATCATCCCCCTGCTCGTCGGCGACGCCGAAGTCGCCAAACAGGCGTCCGACAAGCTCCTCGAGGAACATGGCATCTACGTGCAAGCCATCAACTACCCGACCGTGCCCCGCGGCGAGGAACGTCTCCGCATCACCCCTACCCCCGGCCACGTCAAGGAACACCGCGACCACCTCGTGGCCGCGATCCAGTCCGTCTGGAACGATCTGGGCATCAAACGCACCAGCGACTGGAAGGCAGCCGGCGGATTTGTTGGCGTGGGCGTTGAAGCTGCCGAGGCTGAGAACACGCCCATCTGGAACGACTCCCAGCTGGGGTTGCAACCGAATGAAAACCAGGATCTGGAAGCGGCTGTGCAACGCAATTTTGCGGCTGCGGCTGCGTCCGTGGTTCGGATGCAGACCGGTACTCCTGCTTCTGCACGGATCCAGTCGGTCATGAGTGCTTCGGTTGGTGTTGCTGCTTAGTTTTTCAGCTCGTTTGAGGGGTACAGTTCAGCTGAAGTGGACTGGGCTGAACTCGGGCTAGATACATACATATGCATGCGTTATCATATTAGTATATTTCATAATTAAATACGCTCATTTGGTATTCTGTACTCGTACGAGTACGCTTTGAAATACAACCATCATATTATTACATTCATCTGTATCTTTTTACCTTGTACTCAGTAGGACAATGGTCACATGAGCATTCAGTACTGTACCCCGTATGTTGCGTAACAATCTATACTCCGTAAAATAGCACACTGTACAACAAAAAAAAAGCAAACACATGCAAATCCGTTTCCCTGACCGGCTGACCGGCTGGTTGGCCGAGAGAGAGAAAACAAAAAAAAAAGACTACAAAAGTACATACACAGGAAATCCCAAGGACGGAATTACTTCCTCCCACCGCGACTAACCTTCGGAAACTCCACGGGAACCTTCAACCTAGCCACACGTCTCGCAGCAGCCTCAGCCTTCCCACCCTTAATCCCCCACTTGGCAAACTCCGTCTCGCGCGGCTTGTCAACCCGACATCCCAGCTCGCGGAAATACTGCGTGATAATCGTATTATCCAGTCTAAGATCATCACGCAGATCCGAGGGATCTGTAGCGAGTTCGTTGGCCGAGTTCCCGCCCTGCGCGCTGGAGCCGCCGTCTTTGGCTGGTTGAGGGGGAATGTGCAGCGACAAAGCGCAGACGGTGGTGTGCAGGAGGGTGATGTCGTTTTTGGAGAGGTGCGAGCCCTGTGGGACGAAGCGGCGGCGGATCGCGTCGATGACGGGGTCGGGGAGGGTGTTCTCTGTAGATGTAGGTGCGGGCTGCGGGGTGTTCTTTGCAGAGATGGAGCCCGTGGAGGAGGAGAGGACGCGACGGAGGTCGTCGCGGGGTGGGAGGCGTTTGCTTCCGGGTCCTGCGTCGCGGCCGCCGGGGCGGAGGGAGCGCGCGAATTCGAGGAGGAGGAGGATGAAGCGGAGGATTTGGATTTGTGTAGTGTTTCCCGATTTGACAACTGCCTCGACGCGCCGCGATACGTATCGCGAGGTCGTTGTAACTGCGAGCCCGGAGCCCACTGTTTCCGTCCACTCCTTGATACCAGGCAATTGCCGCAGCGTTGAGGAGCCATTGGGAATCAGCACGTCCACTGGATACACATCCGCGGGATGCGTAGCAGCCAGGTTCGCCTGAGGAAGAGGCTTCGCGGCCTGCACCTGCGCCTGCACGGCAGCAGTCTTGGAGGCCATGTCCGTAGCAGAGTCGGCAGGCATGGACGAGAGGAGAGCGTTTTCGGCGGCGTTGGCAGCGCCGGCGGGGGCATTGGAGAGTTGGGCATTTTCGGCCATGGACTGTACGACTTTTTTGGATTGTTTTGTACCGAAGGCGTGGGTGAGGGCGGTTTTTTGGGCGCGCATTGTGTGCTGAACGATTAGCATGTCTTTATATCAGTAGAATAAGGAAAGGAGGGCATACCATCTCTTCATCCTCGCTGCTTTCCTCATCCTCGAGAGGCTCCATCTTCCTCACAGCACCCCGCAGGATAACCTTGCGCGCCTCGACGAACTGCCATGTCTTCTTCTCCGGGTCAATCACCGCAATGTAATGCTTTAACTGCGAGTCCGCATCATCATTCGCTTCCCGTCCCACAAAGTCCAACTTGGGGTGCTCAGACGAGTGTAGCAGAATCTCAGACGAGACGATTCCCTTGTTGCGCGTGGAGGAAGAGGTGGAAGAAGTGTTTGCGCGCGGTTTGAGGTACGGTTGGAGGTTGATGTTTCGGGGTTGGTTGACGCCGGGGGTTGTCACTATGTATTTCCCGTTAGCAGGATTTTCTTTTCTAATTCAATTGAGGCATATACCAATGACAGGAGCCAACTCGCTATTGTCCTCGACCAAACTGGCGGATAGCGGAGGCAGATCCTGCAGTTCGAGAGCAGGTTTTTTGCTGGGACGCTCGTGGCGGTCTGAGTGCCGCTTGCGCTTCTTGTCGATTTTGTCTGAAGGCATTTTCTTTATATTGGGACAATAATGGTAGAATTGGATTTGGAGATAGTAGAAAAAATTGAAAAGTCGGAGATTCGGACTTGGCAGAAAAAGGCGGAGCAGCAAAAAAAAAAAAGTGGAGATCACGAGACCAGTGACGATAACGCACAATAAAGTATTCGCGGTAACTTCAGCACTACGGTATAGAAGATAGTCATTGCATGGCAGAAATTGAGTTACAGCTACGATATTTGGCAAAATAAACAGATTGTCATGTCACCATGTCATATTTTTGGTAGTTCTTTTAGATCGGAATGACCTCTCCATAGCTCTAGCACCCCAGCTGCAACAGTAGGCCAGTAGATGAGATAACTTGAGTCGAGCATGAATTGACCAGTTCCCGTGCAAACACTCCCAGGATCAGTAGCAAAGGATCCCTCCAACCCCACCAAACACACAATCACCACCCCGAATAGACATTGCCCGGCGAAAGAAATCGAAACCGTTTTATCGAGCCCTAAAGGCTGGAGGTAGAGGAAGACAGGTCGAACGGCGGACTCCGGTTTTCGAGACTCGTCAGAAGACAGCCCGGACAGGCTACCCGATAGAGCGGCTGCCAACGAAAAACGATCATGAGGTCATTAAGCGTCGTAGTTGTCATGTTCAGCGTTCAACATGGAGCGGTCACACGAGAGACTGAGATGGAAAGGGACGAGTCGTTTACTTCCTGTTTATTTGTTAGATCCGTTCGATTAACTCACTCAGGTAGCTCGAGGGCAACTCACGATCTCGCTCTCATCTTTCTTCGCTTTCTCTTTAAACGACGAACGCGCTTCTTTCTCCACTTGGCTCTCATCTTCGTAGAAACTGTTAAGCTATGTTAGCAGCTACTCAACCAAGACTAGCCAAGCTATTAGGACACCAAGGGAGAACTCACACTTCGACGAGGATGAAAGAAGATGGTTGTAAGAAAGATCCAGGAAGATCCGCGGCGGAGCTCTTTGTGTGCGCCATGGCTGAGTCAGCATGGACTGCCGCTAAGGGCTCGCTAGTGCTGTGGGGCATGTGATTGGCTCGACTGTCATCCGTGCACTGTTGCGTTTACCGAGAGCTAATATTAGTCAGCATGATGGGCGGTATTGTATTCCGCGGTACAATGTAGACGTCATTTTGATATGGCAGGAGTACTCCAGAGTACTCCAGAGTAGAAAGCAATTTGTTGCTAATATGTAGTAGAATAGATTGAATCTGTGCTGTTGAGTTTCACTACAATCTACGAATAGAATGCACAGTACCACGTGCAAAGTACGAAGTACTCTACAGGGCTGGGGATCAATTTCCAGAAGCATTAAACTCATGCCGTATTAAAATGACGTAAATTACCAGATAACCTATGTCCAAAATCATCTGTGCTTTTCCATATCTTCATGCGAATCTCAGAGCTTTTATAGCCCTAGCCCTATCCATCAATATGCACATGCAAAATGGGAACGGGAAGTTTAAAAAAAAAAATTAAGAAAAAGAGATAAGATAAAGAAGAAATCATGATATCATGATATCCATTAGTAGAGGTAGCGGTAGTTGGGCGCCATATCGCCCATGTAAGCCACTTCTTCCTCGGTTGGCACAGGTGCGGTGCCATTTGCCAGGGCACGGTCACGCCTGCGGTTATCCCACCAGCAGGCGGCGAAGTAGCACGTGCAGAGGGCAGCAGAGAAGCAGAGGAAGGATAAACTGATGATATACCCTGGTCGGTAGAGGGGAGCATCTTTCTCCAGGAAAGAGTAGGTGGATATAATTCCGCCGACTATTCAAGTTAGCACGTCAACTGGAAAACAAGGGGAGGAGACGTACTGTTTCCAAACCCAATCTGCCATGCGGATCCTATACCACGTCGTCGATGTCCTCCCAAATTCATCGTGAACCAACACACAATGACTGGCATTGCGCTGTAACAACCACTGGTGACCAAGAAGAGAGCACCGTACTGGGTATTCTTTTGATCCAGCCCATGGACATTCAGCAGAATGCCATATCCTGCGATAGCAATGAGCATCGGAACTACCGTGAAAGCATACCGATGCTTCACTTTATCGGAGAGATATGCAACTATCATGGAAAAGACGAATGCGGCTGCCCATGGTGGAATTGAGTACAAATTCGTTTTGATACCTGGAAGGGTTAGACTCATTCCGAGACAGCCAAGGACAGTTGGACTCACTGCTATAACCATAGGTCTGGATAATAGTTGGGGCAAAGTACGCATATCCTGCTGGCTATCAGAACCCCTTCTGCTGGAAAGTGTATGGGATTTGTCTTACCGTAGGCCGTGACAACCTGACCAAAGTACATCCAACCGCCAATGATAATCTTGTCTGCCACCGGTCAATTTGCTGAAAGGATCAGGGGCAGTGAATCACGACTCACAGTCCTTGAATACATCCAAGACATCGCGCCAGCCCAATTTCGCGTCGTGGTTGGCCTTTCCAACATCCTGAGCCAGCTTTGCGCGAAGGAACTCCCGCTCCTCTTCGTTGAGCCACTTGACCTCTTCCGGGAAACCAGGGACGACGAAGAAGCAAACCAACCCAACGACGGCCGTAAGAATACCCTCAATGATGAAAACCCATCGCCAACCCGCAATCCCACGGATCCCGTTCATTTCTCCAATTCCAGCGGCGAGAACACCGCCGAAAGCACCGGCCAGAGTTGTAGAGCTGAAGAAAAAGCTGAATCGCTTTTGGGCTTCACTGCGCTTATACCACATTCCCATCAGATAGAAGCCTGTCGACGTTTAGTTTTGTATTCGGGGTATCGGGGAGTAGAAGGTCACGTACATCCGGGGAAGAGGCCAGTTTCGAACATTCCTATCGTCGCGCAAAAATATCAGTATATGCCATATTGCAATCAGGTGCCAGGAGTGAGTTCTTACCTAGAAACCAGCGAGTAGCCATCAGACCACCCCAATTCTGCACAAAACCCTGGCAAAGCATAACGATACCAAAACCAAACATACATAACGATACTGCGTCCGTGAATTAGTCGCGTTACACAACGCCAGGGGAAAGAACAGAAGCGTACACCAAACATGCGGTTTCAATTTCTTGAGCAGGAGATTGGACGGAATCTCGAAAATAATATACGGAACGAAGAAGATGGTCAACGCGGTATTGTATTTGGTTCCATGCAAGATACCCAGGTCTTCCTTGAGTCCGAGAACCGCCGCATTACTGATATTGACACTGCGCAAAGTCAGAGGACGCGCGCAACATAGCGCTTAGTATAGACGAGCCATACCGATCCAAAAACGCCAACAGGTACATCACACATAAACACGGAACAACATGCCAGTCGACCTTGGCCATGAGCTTGCGCTCCGTCGTAGTCGTCAGCGGAGGGAGGTCCGGCGAAGACATCTGGATCTGGCTTTCGCCTTTGTCCTCGGGATCTATAATGGGCACGCGACGACCGCATGTCAGCGAAAACATTTGTGGCATTGGTGAAATAGAAACGAGTGGGAATGGAAAAATTGTGACACTGGAACACGAACCTGTAGCGCCCATTGTTGGCGACGATTTATATATACACAGGAGTAAATTATGGCGGAATTCGATTTGACAATGCTTGTGCGACGATGCAGGGCAAAGGATTGACCGGGGGGGGTGCAATTCAAAGAGTTTGCTTAGGGACAAGACATTGGCGCAGGACCGTGGTACAGCAAAAGGACGGCTAGAGAGATGAATGAGTGTAGAGAGAGAGATAAGAGATGAGAAGACAAAGGTGAAATTGAAGATGAAAAGAGGATCAAGCTGAAAGAGAAAGACAAATAGAACAAAATCAAATCAAATCAACCAAAGAGGGGGAAGCAGCTAAAAAGACCCGAGGCCGAATCCCAGGCAAATCAGAGCGAAAAAGGAGCAATAGTGCAGATCCGACGGCGCCAGAGAGTCTATCCGCCAGCGATCTCGGCCCTTGCGCGAAAGGCGTGGATACAGGGAATAATCTGTAATACATAATCAGCCATTCCTGGAATGTATGCATATTCTTATCATCCATACAGAAGAGTATACAAGCATCCTGTTCTATGCTCTCACTTTGTAACTATGATTTGTAGGTCCTCGAGAAACAATTAAGCGGCCAATCACACCAGATCCTCGGTCCCGGTTAGGCTTCTCCGCAGTTCCAGTGATTGGGGTCGTATTGTGTAGCGTATACAGTACGTATGGTACAGGACAGTAGAGTCATGTGCTTGGATAATTCACATAGGATACTCTGTTCTCTGTACTCCGTACTCTACAGATGTTATCAAAAATGCACAGTATCAGTGTTATGGAAAATTCAATCTTCAGTCAAGCTCAGCTTAAACTCTCAGCTTGACCCACGAACTCGCCGAACCCGGAGGATCTCCGCCACCCATGGGTCCATCCGGACTCTTGATATTTCTCCCCGATTTCATTGGTAATCTTCTCTCCACCGAATATCAAAGACAACAACTCAAAAATACGGCTTCCAACATCGTACAGAAGAAACAAAGAATACGAACCACGCTATCAATGCTTACTGTCTCGGTCCCTGTTACACGCACACGCGACAGTCAAGCTTCGAGGAATGCTGATATGAGATCATCGGACGCTCTATGATTGGAATACAGATGTGATGAAAATAAAATAGTATTACCTTACAGACGCCCATGAGGTTCATATTGCAACTAACAGAAAACAAACATATGGACAAATATCCCAAAGGGGAATGTATGTGAGAGGCTGACAGAAGACAAAGAAAAGAAAAAAAAGACATGCCGTATAACACGCAGAATCTCGGATAACTTGTACCACGTGCAATCATTTTCCATACTGTGAAACGGGTGTCTTTTTTTTTTTTTTTTTTTCTTCTTTGTTCCTCTTCCCGATCTCGGTCTTTCCCTCAATCAACAACTCATTGGCTTCTCGTCTTCTTCCACGGCTTTTCCCCAGGCCTTCTCGAATTCCGAAGCCGGATCGGTTCCTCCTACCACGACAGTTGATCCTGCATCCGCCGTGGGTGGTGTGAGTGAAGTGGTATCTTCCTCCTGGTCAGTCATCAATGACTCAGTCTTGATCTTCGGCTCGGATCCCGGCACTTCGAGATCAAAGTTCGAACTGTAAATTACTGCCGCGAAAGCTTCCAATTCCCGAGCACCCTGGTCCATGGCTGTCAAATACTCATTCGGAGGATTAGCCCCATTGCCAATCACATGTGCCTGACGTGCCAGCACTGCCAGCACATTAGCCAGTTTCGTCTTGCGCTCTGCAATCGTTGTTGCCGAATGCAACGGCTGGGAAGAAGTGTCTGGGGCCAACGAGGACTTGAACGCGTCGTTGGCACACTTCCGCTCAATCAGAGTTGCAAATCCTTCGTTGTTCAACAGTGTCAGGACGTGGCCAAACGTAGGGGATTCAATCAAGTCCGCCGTCTCGTCCAGGAGGTGTCTCAGCGTGGATGCTGTCTGGGGTGATGCAGCAGATGTTACTCCAAGCACGCCGGATTCTACCAGGAGGCTGTCTTCCTCCTCACGTGGCGGCAACAGATACGACAGCCATTTCTGAGATCTGCACGCGGTTAGTACAAGACAGTTTCGAAAGGGACCGTGAAACATGCCTGCGCTCCTCTTCCGTGCTACCTTCAATCTTCATCCGAATCTGGACCGTCAATTCCGACAACTTGGATACCGAAATGTCTTCCCGGGGGTTCAAAGGACCAAATGTCTCCGAAACAGCAGCTTGTACCCGTTCCATCAACTGTTTCCAACCCTTATGAAGAAGCCACCAGCTGAAAGCAAGATACCGTCTGTTGGTCTCATAATCGTTTCCTAGAGTCTGCGTAGGGTCGTCATCGTCATGGTCCTCAAGGCGGATTGTAGATGTGTTCGCAGGTGTTGCCAAAGAGATCACACTCGATAGATAGTTCCGACGGCCAAGCAGGTTGAGTTGGATCCGAGTAAAGATGGTCAAAAGGGACAGGGTGTAGATAAGAGTAAAGGCTCTGGTAACAGCTGCTTCCGTCAGTACCAACCATTCCCAATTCACGGATCCATCAAGCACAACATACAGGTAATTTTCACTTCATTCCAGAGCTGGGTCTTATTCCGCTTCACCCGCGGGGGCGGTGGCTGTTGCTGTTCTTGTTGTTCCGGTTGCTGCTGCGGCTGTCCATCACTCTCACCGGGCGCCTCTCCAGCCTGACTAACATGAGCAAACCCTTCACTAGCCAAGCTCCGACGATCATCATCCGGCAAACTGGGCGACACCGAGCTCAGATCCGACCCCGTGGCCTCCCCAGCATTCAACCGAGCTAACCGCTCCGCCCGTTTCCTCTGCAATTCTTTTGTCAATTCCTCCACCGGTAGAGCCTCGAGGATGTCCTCCGTCGCGGTAGGCAAGAGTGCAAGAACGGTATAGGTGCAATCGTTCTGGTTCTGTTCGAAGCGTCGTCGCAAACTATAATTCGACTCGCGTGTCAGCTCTTCCGTACGCGATCATTTGTCCTGGTGATAGCGGTTTCGATCGACTAACTTCTCACGAGCAATTCTATCGCTGCTCATACGCTCACGCGCTTCTGAGATCTTGGTCAACACGTATTGTCCTGCGAGGTAGCCGGCTCCGATGACGCCAGCACCGATTGCGAGGCCTTTGCGATTGCGGCGGAACCAGCGCCTCGTCGCACCGATCATGTTGTATTAAGCTTTGGGGATTATATTAGAATAGATAGGAAGTAAAAAGTCGCTTCAGATTATCTTCATTCGTTCATCGTATTGTGTTCATAGGTTTAAAAGATAGCTAGGATTGGGGGTTGACAGGAACGGAGGTCGACAGCGGTCGGGAATCTCTGGGACGCGGCCGGCCTCGGTTAATGATAAACGGTGTGGCAGGTGGAAAATATGACCGCTTGAACTGGGACTGTTTGTGGTTTATACGAGATGGGAACGGTGTATATACGAGTTGCTATATGTAGAGATAAAGCAAATCTAACGTTTCTATCCTATCAAGGTATTTCATCCTGCATGGGCTGTAAGACCGGATCTCATACACCTAAAATGACAGCACGTGATACGTCCGATGTTTGCGATCAGTTCATAAAGGAGTCGATATCCTCCAAACAGCACTGGAATAGCTCGATATGACATGCCGGTTATCTTTTACAGTTCTTAACACTTTACCTACGTGGATAGCTCTTTGTCCTGTCAGTTAAACTGTCAGGTTGGGTGTCTGAATTGGCAGGTGTGGCGGTGGTGGCGGTGATAGGGCATTTCCTATTTGGGATCCGATGTATGTGAGTCTTCACATCATCATCCCCTAGGCTACACTCGTACATATATAGTCCATTCTACTAATATGTCACTCTGGATACTTTCCATTATACCACACCTTACCTTTCAGATCTCACCCTTCAGACATCAGTCTCTAGTTCCACGTTCAAGATGACAAGTGTTCAAGAAACCGTTTCTCCATCTGAGAAACATATTCAAGAAGAATCTACGGATTATGAAAGCCTTTTTAATAACTCTCTCTGGATTACTAACCCTGACTTGACCCAGCCGGCGTCGGAAACTAAGGGTAAGACCCCCCTCAGTGATCCATCAAAACACGAGCTAATCATATTTATAGCTGCTGAAGTTATTGAAGAGCCCCCCTCGCAGCCAAAATCACTCAGCCATGGGGAGAGGATTAAGGAGCTAAAATTTCTTCTGAAAGATTCACAGCTCAAGTACCAAAAAGAGAACATTCAAGCTGCCATTAAATATCACGAGACGTTCAAACCGGAAGAGCAGTGCGGCAGCAAGAAAGCCTTCTTCAAACACGGCTCTCAAGTGGAAGAAGAAGAGTTCAAACATCCTCAGGCATGCAACTGCATTGGTGGATGGGCGGAGGTAAGTGGTCTCTTAGCCCTAGACTACTACTGGCCATGGTCCTGATTAGACTCAACAGCCCCCTTATGAAAATCCGTGGTGTAAAATCATTGACGAGAGAGTTGATGATTCTAACCAACGTGTCCCTGAAGAAATTGAGGCTAAGGCCGAAAAGAAAAGGGAAAAAGAACTCCGTGAGCTTAATAAGAACATGCTCCATGGGTTGGGAAGGTATCGTTCCATATTAGCATCATACAATTCTTCATGTTACTGATTACTGACTGACTACAGCTCGATGTTTAAGCCCTTTCGCCGATTGACTAAGGCAGTTCGGAACTAATTCAGAACTTCGAATACATAGCCCTGAGAATTCGCTTATGCCGGTTTAGCATTGCTTTATTCACACCAGATTTGCACGATGATACCTCTTGGATAATTGCTCTTAGTTAGTTAGGTGGTATTAGTATTGAATGAAAACCATGTCTGCTGCCGGTCGTTTGCTGCTGGGTAATATCGGGATAGAGTCGGATCTGAAACTACTCCGTCTTGTCTGTTCCTACCACCACCATTAACCTAACCACGCATCACCTTCATCCTATCTTCTAGTTCCATTAGCGTGCAACCATTTTCATTATCTGTCATGCCTTACGAGTGAGCTGTATAATACACCCGCTAGGTATAGTACTTTGACGAAGTCGAATATGAAAAATCGATGGATCTATTAGGCTTGTCTTTAACCTATCAACAATCCATGGTCCATGGACTCACTAGAATGTGGTGAGTCTTTTTTTTTTTTTTTCCTCATATATCATAGATATATTTAGGGTGGACCACATAGCGATGTGCTGACCGCAAGACCATCATTAATGCTTCGTCGTTCGTCGTTCCGTGGACGAACACCACGTTTGATCCAGGCTCCAACGACCAAGCTACTCACCTCCTATTGTAACTCAGTCGAACCGAAAGCAACAGGCAGCGGAGGGATGTCTTGTACATCGCCATTCGCGACAACAACGACAACCGCAACCATTGCTGCAGATCTGCTCAAGACAGCGATGGCCAGTCCCGGCTGTATGAGAGGGACCTTCTCACCACTCTCCGCCGTTCTCAGGTTTCCTGCATCGCAAGTTCGTCATCCTAACGACTCTCATACAGACGCGCCGTCTGGTTATGACTGGTTTGATTTCCTCACCAAAGCCGGCGTTGAATCTCATCGGTGTGAGAGGTATACACAAAGCTTCATCAAGTCATCCATAAATATGGATGCAAATACTCTGCCAGGTATCACACCTGGAATTCTCCGCATTTTCGGCCTTAGCGAAGACGATAATTTTCGGGTTATGCGATGCTTGAACGCAATCCTTGGTCAAACCGGTACCAAATGCAGAGAAACTGACGGTGAGGTCGCCAGCAACGTCGATTATAGTGGTCCGAGTGGCCCTGGCAGTGTTCTGCGTGATGAAACCGTCCCAGCCATCCAGGCGCCAACTTCGGGTGTAGAGTCGAACCGGGGTTTCAGGGATGCCCACCCGGCCAATCCTGATAAAATGACTGAAGGATCGCAGTGGGGGACCGAACCGACCAGCCAGGAACCTGTGACGAAGGCCCATGTGCAGAAGACTGAACTGAAGCCAAAAAGTCTACATGAGTCAGAAACAGCTGCACAAAAAACCAAAGCTCCACCCGCTATACCATCATACGATGAGCCGCACCTGGGACTGTCGGTATCGACTCATACACCTGGAGACCAACCATCATTTTCCGGCGTAGCGCTACCTCCACTGCTGGTTCGAGATGAACTCTACCCAAGCCTATCAAGCTCCAACATGTCTATGTACCCTTCGCAATATCTAGTTGGCCGAGGACAAGGGCTAGATAACAACAAGGGAACAGGAACACCAGGTGCTGAGGATGGCCGGGGTCACTCCTTGCAGTGTGAGAGCATTATGGGACGGTTTCAGGGTAATCAGAAACAGTTAGTGTCGCCACGTTTAGAGCTTGCTAAGCAATTCTTTGCGGGGACTTCCGATAATGCCAGAGGGTCGGGGGGGATGGTTTCAACAATCGGGGCAAGTATCAACACTGGTGGGGGGGAACGAAGCACCACCACCTCACCAGCAGCTTCACCATCGGATATTCCGAATTCCTCAGCGAGCCACTTGCCTATGCATCCCGGTGCCTTCGATAGACTGAGGTTCAAGATCATGCTGTCCAGGTTCCCCATGTGCTGCATTAAGAAAGCAGTGAAGGTCCATGATCCCGGGGCTCCGGGCCCAGTTCCGAGACAAGAACTGGATCTTCTAGCCAAAGCATTTCGCCTGGGCGGAATAACCTGGACGACAGATGCGAAGAAAGAATCCTTAGTATTGGAACTTTTTGAGAAACAATTGTACAGGGCTATTTCCAGATATGGGTGAGTCAAGGAATACTAATCACATGAATGAATGAACGAATGAGACTAACCATTCAACCTAGGTACCGTAACTCCACCTGGAGACCACGCCAAGGGCGAGGTATACTCAAAATCAGCGGTTGCGAAGGCCGGCCGCCCAGAAGGTTACCTCGCTGGCTAAGAGACCTTCCATTTATCCTACCTACAGAAGGACAGGTGCAGTACGAGAGAGAGCGCGCAGCTGTGATCAACCCAATTGTCCAACCAGGCGCTGCACTCATAGCAGTTGGTCCGTACATTGGCTTGGAGAAGGAAGTGGGAACCTTGGGGGTTGTTATGCAAAGGGAGATGGTGTGGTCTGTCGACCATGTCGGCCTTACGGCGGGCCACGTCCTCAAAGAAGCAGCCGGGTTCTTGGATGTGTGTTTACCAAATTCAGAGTTGCACGTTAGGCTTGATGTCGCGGACGAAGTCAACGGGAAGGGGCCGACCACCAAGTGGTCAGAAGAAGTTGAGCTACTGGTCATTAGCAATGATGTTCTACACCATTTCCAACATCAATATCACAATTTGAACCCACATGCATACGACATCAACCGCTCACACGCATCACCAATAAAGTATTGGCGACTTCAGAAGTTAAGGGATGCGGTGCTGAGGAATGGCGTGGTAGTGTTCAAGGTTGGGGCGATGACGGCGGTGACGATGGGACATCTTACCGATGTTAGTCTTCAATGCCCAAAAGGATGATTTAAGGAAGCAAGCAACCCCCCTCTTCGCCGCTTCTTCCTAGATTGGGATTCCGACGGCAGTTCCTCGGGGTGCGAAACCGACAACGACTCTGACGACGACTCCGCTGATGATTCTAAAGGTTCGGAGGCAAGTGGTGGTCCAGGTGAAGCGGGCGAAGCGGTGGGTGATGCAACGGCGACGGCAGGTGGTTCAACCAGTTCTGGTTCAAGCGGTTTGACTGCGGGCGTGAATGATGGTTGGTTTGGTCGAGTAGAGTGGTCCAGCGTGGATTTCGCAACCGGGGGGGGGATTCAGGCAGTATGGTTTTCGCAGCAGAGCCAGGGGTGACAGTACCTCTCGGCATCCATCTCAGCTCGCGCGGGGGAAAGGAAGTCAGTTATTTCATGAGTCTAGAGACATTCTGCTGGGAGGCGAGGGGTCAGAGTTAGGAACTCCAATTTTCATCGTAAAAAGGTAGCTAGTTACTTTGCTTCTATCCTGGTAGATTGTCAATCGGACTGATGTTTATCAATCGCATTTGAATAGTAGCAACTGGTGGTGTATAGAGTATCACTATGCTGTTGAAACTCAAGGCTATATTCATTATAGTAATAGAATATCGATAGTCTAGCCCATACTTCTCAATAGTCATGCATCCTTATCAGCTGACTATTGATGACTAATGACACATTCCATCCCCATTCCTGGCGTCACATCATCATCACTTATCCAACATCCCTCAAACTATTTACTCACTCGAACTTCTACGGTACTTTTTCTCCAGTTCATACGGCCCAGCTGGCCGTATTCTACAGCCAAAACTGGGTCGTTATTAATCTACCTCATACCAATACAACCGAACCATTACATACCCGAAGACCTTCCCCAGAGTTCTAGCCAAATGGAGCCCCGCAGAACCCCTCCAGAGTACTTTCTGGAGATTTTCGCAGACTCCACGACCGTGAGAGATGTATTAAAGGGTATTTCTTCCTTGCTTCTTGAATAAATAAGATAAATGCTAATAAAGGGGAAAAAAAGGCATCCTAAACCTAATCTTCTTCCACCGATACTTCCCCTCCATCCGTCCCACCACCTTCGACGTCCTAGACTTCACCCTCCCCGCCATCAACGACGTCGATCTCGAAACCCTCATCGACACCCGCGTCTCCTCGCTCGTTCGCCAACACCTTTCCTCCGCCGCTGCGGGCAGCAATAATGTTCTCGATGGTGGGAGTGGCGGCGTGCGCGGTCGGATAGCGGTCGAGTTCTATGAGAAGAAGCGGAGGAGGCCCGGGATGTGGTTTGGGGGGTTGGCGGGGATGACGGGGAATGGAGAGGAGGAGGTTTGTTGGGAGATTTGGACGCTGGATGTTACTATTGCTACGCCGAGGACGGAGTCTGGTATGTTCCTCGCCAACGGTTTATTGGGAATATCGGGGCTAATGAAGGGTAGAACGCGCAAAAGTTCGCAAAGCGATGGAGAATATGCTCCAGAAAGCAGCCTTCAAAATCCTCGCCGTCGTCAACAGGGATAAAGATCATATCCCCCCCATCACGACTAGCGAATCGAATCCGTTCCCGTATCGCATCGTGCTGAATCCGCGGGGCGACAGTTGGCAGAATCGCATCGGTATTGGGTTGTATTGATGCGAGGGGTTGACGGATTGAAGTGTTGTTCGAGCGGCCGGCTCATACATGCATGCATTTACATACGGCATACGGCATCGTCGATTGGCGACTATATCGGGCTATGATACCCTTACATCTTACTATTCATCATAGGTTGGTGACTGGAATATTGCTTCTAATGCTACGTTGGTGTTGTGGAGTTTCGCGGTTTCTGGATGATTTTTAGGGCAACTGTACAATACATCTTACCTTAAATAATATAACCTTTGAAGACAAGACGTTCAGATATCATAGATCACTGATGAAATCGCAGGATATGAAAATAAACTGTGAAAGTTTTTTGCATCAACAATAGAATTCAACGCATATGATAGCATAACAACTCAACGCAAATACCATTCCCGAGATTCAAGATATGGCAAAATAAAACACGCAAACGTAGCGAAACCATCATATCTCTCTATTCCCCTTCTTTCTCACCGCACCTCCGTGTTTTTCTTCTTCTACCCTTCATTCCTTCATAACCAAATCTAGCGGTCAATCAATTCGTTACCACGGGCCTTTGGACATAGATAATCGACTTGGTTCATGGCTAAACGAGAACTGGCCATGAACATCTAGATCCAGGCGGCGAATAAATTCTCCGGGCGGTCGCGTTTACTGAGACTTGGCAGCGGCCTCGGCCTGAGCACGGAGGTTGGCCGAGGTCGAACCGTTGTTGAAGAAGCGGCCGAGGACAGGCTGGAGGAAGGAGTGGAAGACGATTTGGGCACCGCTACAGCATGTTAGACCATTGCGATAGGTTCCTGAGATGCGGCAACTTACTTGGTCTGGGGAAGGGACATCCAGAGGACAAGGACGAACTTGAAGATGTAGTAGAAGGCTAGATAACGGGTCAGTCGTGGCACTTTCGGGTTCAATATGTAGCAAACTTACGGAACCAGTAGGCAGCGCTGATGGCACTCTCAACAACGGTCAGGAGAGCGTAGACAACCCAGTACTGCAAACCACATATCGTCAGTCGGGTTCTGTAACGGGAATGGGGTCACGTGAAAATTGGGGAGAAAAGCCGCCCGTGGTTCCCGACAGATACCATGGACTTCCCCGACAGCGACGGATAAATAATCCATTCACTATCGATCGCTTTGTGAAATTCGTGCGTAGACAATTTAAAGGCATTATATCACAAGAAACATACCGTCAACCACTATATCGCAAAAACTTCATGTCAGCCGACCCGGTCACCGCACAGAAAGATAAGAAGAAAACTCACCTGAGTGTCATCCCGAGTACCAGGCGTGAACAGGGCGTTGATAGAGTAGTAACCGGGGATAAGGAAACCAACGAAGTTGACGAGGAACTCGCCAGCGATGTTAAAGAAGACGAGGAAGAAGTAAACGCCGACAAGACCCAGGATCGCATACACCTTGGGGACGTTGGTCTGGCGCTCCAGGTTGTTAAGGATGGGGTACTTGGAGAGCTGCGATCGTAGTTTTAATTAGCATCGTCTATCTAAGTGTCTTCCTGGTGTCTGCGTAGTGGCAGGCCGTCGAAGATGCTGTAAAAAACGAGCACACAAATCTTACCTCCTTGTCGAGCTGAGCAACCATGTGCTGGGCACGGTCCTGGAAAGTGGCCATTGTGGAAGAATAGGATGATACCTAGCAGAAAGCGATAGAGTGTATTGAATTTAAAGGTGATCAGGTGAATAATGAATCGAGAACGATAGAAAATTTGGTGTGAGGAAGAGAGAGATCGGTAGCTGAAAGCTGGCGTTAGAGATGACGGTGCGGTCTATCACGTGATGGGTCATGACGTCGGAAGGCGGGCGTATTGCCCTCTTTTTGAGTCTGCCTTGTATGAGACCAGACCAGGCATAAGGCTACGGAGTACTACTAGTTACCACTGTCTCCTATTTTCACGGAATCCCGAACTACAATCGACCGCTCGCTGGGTCAGACCTGGCCTCTGCGGGTATACCGCTCTCTGCTCGATGCTTCGTATCCGGTGCTAAGCCAATCAAGACACCGAGTCCAAATGCATCCGTGCTTTCGCATGTACAGGTACGAATGTCTCCCAAGGCCTGGCTTACTCCGTGCACCATATAGCGTAGAAATTGCGCACACCGACCTATCACTCAGGAGGGCAGGGTAGAGAGAGGAGATAGTGATGTATCTGCTCGGCCAGTCATATCGCCGGTTAGTGAGCGCCGAATATGCAACCGTCCAGGTGCACAAGTACCAAAAGTATGGACGGCTTGGTAAAAGGCCAATCCGATACTCCATTTGTACTCTGTAGTTGTGTCGGCAATTGTCTGCATCGCCTTTAGTGTGTACAGACAGGTACGGCGTAACTGGGTGCACTTGTACAAGTACATACCCCTCACAGACTGGGAGGTGATTGATCACTTGTCTATCTTCCTATTGCATTAAAGGTAGTGTGCGCTGGCTCCTCCTGTGGCGAGCTGGTCTGCCCTCTCGCATCCGTTTGAAAGGGGTTCTACTCCGTAGAATATCTCGAATCTGCCTTGCCATCCTTTTGGCTGCGCCGTACTTCGTACAATTGCACCACTATGGCCGCCGCTATATATATATACAGAACACGCTGATACACGAACGAGTCAAGACACCATGAAACATGGGAATATGAAATACCGAATACTCACCAGTATTCCGCCTCCAATTTACTCAGTCAAAAGAATACATGATCTGATATTTAATCAACGCCTGACAAATGGTGGACAAGGTTAACGACTGACTTGTACCATTGTGCCCGAACAATAAGCACAAAAACAAGCAATTAAATCAATTATGGCAAGATGGCCGAGCGGTCCAAGGCGTCAGGTTAAGGTTACCTTAACAGATAACTTCCTCTGAAGTTTCCTGATCTCCGACAGGGGGCGTGGGTTCGAATCCCACTCTTGTCATTTCTTTTTGTTTGCTCTTTTATTTCTTCGTCCATTCTTTTTTTCTTTTTATGCTCCGAGATAGATCAATCCAACAGCGGGGAATCAGAGAAGTGGAATCATGGTTCACATTGGGCCCATGAAAGGGGGTTGTACTCTGTACAGTTCCCGTATGAGCATGCAGAGCACCCCGTACAGACCAGACAGCTATACAGAGAGGACGGAGTTCCTAATATTTACCACGAAAAGACAGTCCAAATTACAATCAATTGATTCTGAATGAACAGTCACCAAGGGACCAAGTCGTAGGTGGTCAAGTTCGGATCTAAAGTAACAATCCTCCCAGATAAGACAGTAAGACAGTGATAAGTAGATCTCAAAAAGACAAATCAGAAGTGAGAAGTGAAAATACACTCGCGGTCAGACTATTTTTATACCCTTTCTTTCTTTCCATAGAAGAAAAGAAAGAACTCGCTCGTTGATAAACAGAGCATTGCGCCACCAACCATCATTTCCATCACCGATTGAAACCACTGGAACGCCTTTCGGATGAGATACACGTAAAAATAAGACATCAAAAAACAAACATTGTAGAAGGTGACTAAAGATACATATAAAGAAAGAAAGAGACGAGAAGGAAGATAAACCGATTTTACTCTTCGCCAAATTCGGCGGCCCCGTTGGCACCAATATTGTTGAAGGTAAGCTTCAACTTCGGTTGCCCAGGAGTAGCAGCGGCGAATGGCCCATCTGGAAGATTGCCGGCGCCCTCAATGGCTCCCGGGCCGTCAAAGTTGGCGAATTGAGGGTAATTCTCGGTCTGCTTCTTCAGTTCAGAAGCACATTTGGTCTGTTGCCTTGTCAGTACCATTCATATCCACGGGGGGAAGAAAGGGAACCTACCTCAATGTCATTTGCATCTTGGAACAAGAGACTGCCGTCCTCGTTGTAGGTCCGAGCATTCTGGCACATCAACTGGATGTCGTCATAGAAAGCCTTGGCGCTCTGGTACTCCTCGCGGTTGATCTTCTTTCGAATCATCTCCATAGCAATCGGGTTCTGGATGATCATGTAGTAGTCAGGATATTGCGACTTCGGAGGTGGCTTCATGAATGGATCGATAACAGCGCGAGTAACAGGACCATCTTCGCTGTCAGACTCTTCGGCCGGTAACTCCTGCTCCATCTCCATCAGAGACTGGTAGACGTTGTTGGTGATATCCTGCAACGCGGCTCGATCCGTGCTGCTCAACGTCTCCACAGGCTTCGCCTGCCGACCCCTCTTGCGCTTAGGTTGTGGTGTTTCCTCTATTTGTTCTTCCGCCTTGCGCTTGGGCGCTGGTCCTCTGCGGCCACGCTTCTTCGGTTGAGGGGTTTCGGAGCCATCCCGAGATGGCTCTGGGGATGACTCGACGGGCTGTCCCTTACGCGTCCGCTTATCCTTGTTCGACCGGCGACGCTCAACTCTTGCCTCCTTACGAGCAATGGCATCTTCAATGCTGTCGTCATCGGCATCCACAGCCATGAGCCATTGCTCTTCGGTAAGACCATCGTCGTACCGGGTAGACTTGCGCTCACGAGCGCCACGACCAGCCACTTCAGCTTCAACCTCTTCCGTGACGGGGTTGTCTTCGGCCATGTAGAGTTCGGGCAGTTCATCCTCGGCCATCAAACGAGGTATCTTACCGGGACCATAGACGTCGTTATCCGCCCGGTCTTTGTCAATAGCATGGAAAGTGACCAGCTCATCAGCGGAACGGGCCATGATGTCGTTCAAGTCATCGTCATCCATTTCATCGTGGTCGCCGATTTGATCCGCAGCTTCGGCAGTCTCCAGCAGGGTCCGCAGGAGAGCATCACGTTCCTCGTTGGTGGACTTATTATCGAATTTACCGGCCTGGATGACCTTGCCGTCCATGTCGAGCTTGAACTGCGCACGTTCCAGGATCTTTTCTTCAACAGAGTTGGAGCTGATCAACCGCAGGATACGGACCTCGTTCTTTTGACCGATACGATGCGCACGATCCTGAGCCTGCAAATCCTGGTGAGGGTTCCAGTCCGAATCGAAAATGACAACCGTATCAGCGGCCTGAAGGTTGAGACCCAGACCACCAGCACGCGTCGAAAGCAGGAAGCAGAAGTACTCCGAATTGGGGTCATTGAACAGCTTCAAGAGGTCTGAACGGTCGTCCGACTTGGTGGCACCATCGAGACGAAGGTACTTCAACCCCCGAAGCCGCAGGAAATCCTCCATAATGTTCATGATCTGTGTCATCTGGAAGAACATCAAGACACGATGGCCAGTTGCCCGGAATTTTGGAAGGATCCTGTCCAGAAGTTCGAATTTACCTGCGGTTCGCCAAAGAAGGTCGTTGGAGGTTCTCGCGGGATTCATTTGATCCTCCACAGGCTCGAAAACGAAAGGGTGGTTGCAGAGCTTCCGCAACTGCATCAGCATGTTGCTGAGACCACGCATGCCAGTCTTTCCACCCTTTCCATCACTAACGACCATCTTGTTGTGAGTAACAAGTTGTCTGTACAGCTTAGCTTGCAAGGCAGAGAAACGACACTTGATGACACGCTCCTGCTTCTCAGGCAAGTCCTTCTCGACATCCTTCTTGAGACGTCTGAGCAGGAACGGCCGCAGAACCTTGTGGAGACGACGGATAACAAGCAGCTGCTCTTCTTCACTCAACTCCATGCGATCTTGACTTCCGGTGTTGGCAAACGGTGTGTTGAACCACTCATCAAACGACTTGACCGACTTGAAAATGTTGGGCAAGACGAAGTTCAGCAGAGCCCAAAGTTCGGGGAGATTGTTCTGCAATGGAGTACCGGTCAAAATTAGACGGTATCGACAGCTGTAGTATGTCGAAAGAGTACTGCTCAATTTCGACTGTGTGTTCTTCATACGGTGACCTTCGTCGACAATCATGTGAGTCCACTTGATCTTGCTCAGGACTGGCCGGTCCTTGATAATGTACTCGTAGGTGGTCAGCAGAACTTGGAAGTTGCCATAGCGAATCTGCTGCTGTTGCTGTTTTCGTGCATTCGGAGGTCCCTTATACACGACCCTAGAAACAGTAGGTGCCCACTTTTCGAATTCCATATTCCAATTTGTCAGAGTACTGAGCGGGACAATGACCAAGAAGGGACCGTTGTTACGCTTCTTCTCAATGACATAGGTGATCAAACTAATGGTTTGAATGGTCTTTCCGAGACCCATTTCGTCGGCCAAGATACCGTTCAGGTTGTTGTTGTAAAGCGAAATCATCCACTGCAAACCACGCATCTGGTACTCCTTCAGGGTGCCACCGATGAGAATCTTAGGCTGATCATTGACCTCTTCGCGGATACGGTGTGCCACAGCGTAGTAGTCAATCTTCTTCTTGTCGCCACCTTCGTCGTCATCCTCGCCGGTAATAATCTCTTCCTCTTCCTCTTCGTAAAATTGCTGCTCATCCTCGCCATACCGTTCGGCTTGGCTACGCTGTTGTTCACGGACCGAGTCGGCGAGCTGCTTAAGGAAGTTGTCCGTCTGCCTGAGCAGATGCGAGATACGCGAATCCTTGGCCTGTCCCAAGAGTTTCAAGTAAGTCTCTTCATCGTTAGCCTTCAAAGCCTGCAGACGCTGCTTGGCAGTCCGCTCCACACGCTTCTGCTCCTCGCGCTCCATGTGTTGGTGGTGTTGCAGCATCATGCGACCCAATTTGTGCATGCGATTGCGTTGCTGTTGAGCAGCATTTTGAAGTTCGATGCCATGGTTGAGGATAGCCTGCAGGTGGTCGTACTGCTTCTTCTTCTCTCTGGTTTCACGAGCATCGCGCTGCTGCTTCTCCAATTTCTCGGTGATCCTAGCTTCGCGCAGAGACTGTTTCTTCATACGGCGGTGGCTGGAGCGATTGGCGGTCATGCCCAAGTTGTCGTAATGGAACATTTCGTTTTGGATTTGTTTGCGGAAGAGCCTTTGCTTGGGCAATAGGTTGAGCATCTTGTACTCAATCAATGCCTTCAGCTTCAGCGAATCGTCACCTGTCGGCGCGTCGCTACGACTCGTATCCCAGACACCGAGATTGGCAGGAAGTTCTGCCAGTTCTGCTTTCCGCGCATTGATCTTGTTGTACAGCACCGTTTCCCTGTCCTCGCGCACTTGCTCTAGATCCAGACCGGCAGGCAACAAAGCCGGAACGCGCGCACGGTTTGCGCGAGAAGCATGGTCTCCATAGGTGATAGACTTCACTAGCGAATCGTATGGCGATTGGAAGCTGTCGTAGTACTCCCTTGCCGGTGGTGCAGGTTCCACACTTTCAGCGGGTTGACTTGTTTTGCCTTGCGCTACACCGTCAAGAACGGACTCGGCGGCCGAGACATTATCGGCGGGTGCAGGTGTTTGCGGTTTCTTCGACGCGAATAATTGCTGTTGAACACGGGGAGGGATCGCGAGGTTCTTTGACAGCATCTTGAACGCCAAGATCTGGTTTCTGAGGGTTGCTAACTGTTCCGCGGAGAAGCTGCCGCTGGTGACAGGCGTATTCTGGGCAGATGAGGCCTGCCCAGAAGGCTGCGACTGTGCGCCTGTTGGTGTTGAAGCATCCTGAGATGCACCGGTAGAGGAAACGGAGCCATTTCGACCTACGTTACCACCATCAGTCAGTTGCCAAGTCCAAGTATCATCTTTGTTATGCGACAAATAACGCGGCTTGTGGAGGCCTCCTTACCGTGGCCATTCGCAACTGCATCGGGAGTCGCACCATTCAGCTGCTGCTGACGTTGTTGCACTTGGAGCTGTTGCTGTTGTTGCGCGTACCGTTGTCTGTGGAATACCTGTTGTCGTTGAACGGCAGAGAGGAAGTTATGAGCCTTCAGGTATTCAGGATCGTCAGGGCGCACGCCTTGTTCTTGCATCTGCTTGAACTTCTAAAGTAGATGTTAGACAGAGTCCATTGCGATGACTAACGACAGAATGTGACGGGGGACGGAGTGGGAAAAGTCCAGACGACATGGCCAGACAAGGGGCGGCAAAAAAACACGTTACCTTGATGGTTTCTTGGACAGTTGCCTGTGTTAAATTTGGCGGCAAACCCATATTCCCAGTCGCCATATTTGGCGTTGACTGAAGAGACGCCATGTTTTGGTTATTTAGCGCGTTGTTACGGTGTTCATAAGCGACGTAGACACGTTGGGATGGCAGACAAGGCTATACGTGAATGCGATGGAGCAACTGCTGTCAAGAAGAAAAACACGTGAAGGGCCCCAAAAAAAAAAAAAAAATTAAAAAAGGTCGCGAAAAGCAACAAAGTCAAGGTCGCGCCTAATGTGAGGAAAAAGGCGCGTCAAACTATTGACGGGGACGGGGTGAAAAGGTTCCTTTGTGTGGATAACAACGTATATCAGATTCCTTGGCGATATGTGGAATCCGTGATGGTTGCGAAATGCACCCGGTCGGGGATGGGTTGAGAGACCGCGGGTAAAGAGAAAAGAGAGAGAGGGAATTGAGAGGGGAGGGAAAGCGCGATGGCGACTGGGGAGTAAGCCCAGTGGGAATTCGCCGGAAGCACAAGGCGCGTGGAAAGAGAGAGAGAAAAAAAAAAAAAAAAAAAAGGGAGGAAAGAAAAAAAAAAAAAAAAACACGAGAACGAGTTGGAACTTTTCGTTTTCTTCCACTTCATCTTCGAGACAAGACAGAATCAGAACAAAATACACGAAGAAAAAAAAAAAATACGGGGGAGGGGGGGGTATGGAAATGGCAGAAAAGACGATGGATGGATGGATGGATGGATGGATGGAGATGGAGGAGGGGACTGTTCGCGACCTGTAACTGTTGCTTCTGCTGCTGGTGTCGTCGTGGTGGTCGGGGACGCTGGGAACGGGACACCGGCAGAAGTTTCGACCGCACGTGATACAATGACTCAGCAATCTTGGCGGACATTCTACAGTGCTACAGTAGCTACTCGGCTTCGAGATACTACTACTAATTATCACACATAGACAAATGTACGTCTTTCCAGAGACTAATACGATTAATTAAAATACAATTGCCCATACTCCTCGCTCACTTTCGAATAACCCAGCCGAAACTCCTAAACATACAATATACGCTGTGAATGCGATTATACAGGGTGAACTAAAACTCAGTACGCACCACCTGCGAAAATAGGTCGCTTCATCGGAGGCGGTGGCGGTGGAGGCTTCTTTGCACGCGATGGCGGCGGAGGTGGTGGTGCCTTCTTGAACGTTCCGGAGCCGTTCATAGAACTGCCTCCCTGGTAGAATCCATTGCCATACGAGGGCGTTGGAGAGGATCGTTCGCCGTAATATCCATCAGGGCTGGTGCCGGTGGAATAGTTCTCAGAATGATCAGTGTACGGATCAGAAGCGACTCGGCTGACGGGTCGGAGTTGAGAGATACGAGCACCCAAGTTCTCGCTTGTTGTTCGAGATGAATATGAGTTGCTGTAGACAGGTTCCTGCCGTAACTGCGTAGGTCCCTCAAAAGTCGACGTTCGGCTGATGGCTGGTCGCTGGGTGTCAATGTCGGCCGCATAGGGGTCGCGCACCGGCGATTCTGGAAGTACAGGTTTGCTCGAACGGACGATGGGAGTGGGTTGCAGCATGTTTGTGTTCTCCTCGTGAAGAGGCTCGAAGCGCTCGTGATAAGAATGCGCCGTGTTGGAGCGGGTGCGCCCAATGCGACGGCCGTTGTTAGGAGTACGCGGAGAACCCTGACTACTGTAGTATGAAAGTTAGCGATTATCCTGAAAATCCAGTATCCCCTTCTACTCACCCGCCGGGCCAGTCATTCTTCAGCTGGAGAAGCGCCTCTGTGCATTGCTCATGGTACTTCAACTGAGCGTCCAAGAAGGCTGCCATGTCGACAACACCTTCACCTTCGGTCTCTTTGACATCCTGCATCCGCCGGAGTACATCATCGTTCGCCTCTTCGTACTTGACTTTCTGTGTCCGCAGTTCTTCTTCCACGCGGAAGTCCTCTTTCTTCGCCTTCTGCATCTTGGAGAGGGAGGTATCGTAGGCCAGTCGGCGGCTATCGAGCTTCTTGCGAGCATTCTATCATCCGGTTAGATTGTGGTCCATTGAGCAAACAGACAATGAGTAATACCTGGTAGTCTTTCATTTGAGTCATGGATCTGTCGAGAGACTCCAGCCAAGTAGCGTTCGCCTGCGCGATGTAGCCTTCCTGCACACGTGCGACCCGTTCTTCGGTGCGTCCGAACACTAATCACAAGAACATTAGCCATGCCTCTTTGACTAGCGTAAAGGACCAACGGATACTCACTCGTAAGACAGCGACCATACTCAGAATACGCATCAAAATCCTCCCCATGGGTGACCATGTTAGTTCCCAGATGAGCAATTGGCAGTGTCTTCTCCTTGTCATCGCCTTCGCTGCGCTTGGAAATGGACTTGAGGTAGGAAGCCAAGGCTTTGTGGATGCGATCGAGACCTTGGGACTCGTTAGCCATTATCAAAAGCTACCAATTGCATGGCTACTCACCTTCGTGCCTGACGTTCATCTCTGTCTCCATCGCCTTGAAGTCATCCGTCAAATTGGTCCTGACTTCATTGCCCATTCTCTCCCCCGCCCATTGCCTGAAGCGATCGAACTTTCGGTTCATTGCGGTAGTTGTGGTTGTATGGATGAATCGTCGTAGAGGGTAGTGTGGTAGTGTATGATAGAAAATTAAAGACTGTCGCGTGAGATGTTGCCAAAGAGCGTGTGTAGAGAACAAGAGAGTGTAAATAGATGCGAAACGAAAGACCAATACCCCACGGGAGAAGAAAGAGAGGAGGAAACGGGATTTAATGGAAGGACACGCCACCAGAGTTTAGCTAAGGAGGAGAGGCAGTGCCTGCCCCTTTCGGCATCTCAAACTGGTGCTTCAGGAAGACCTGAAACTTGTTGCTTCTGATGGGCCCAGAACCGAGTCTGATTGTCCGGTGACACGCGTTGGTGGGGCAGCGGTGGAGGACACTACTCAGAGTAGGTTTGCCACGGGTGTTGCTATTCTGGGAATGTCAGTCTGCATACGGAGTACTCTGTACTCTGTACTAGTACATACTACATACTACATACTATTGCACTGCTACTCTACGCTTTAGACAAAGAGTAACAATGCATAGTTACAAATACCCTGGTTTATTTTATTTTATTTTTTATTGGGTAGCATGCAATGTTACATCCTTAGAAAAACAAGAAAAAAAAGAGTACGCCATCAGATGTGCACCCTGTAGATCTTCAACAGTGCGCTGTTCCATACAAGGCAAGTATCCAGTGAGCATGAAGTCATTGTGATTATCATTAACAAAGGAGTAAAAAAAAAAAAAAAAAAAAAAAAAAAAAAAA